TTTGCCACTTAAAGTTGTCTAAATAGAGAAAGAAAAAGAAGGTTAATTAGTGATTATTACTCATGTTCTCTGGGTAATATGTTTTATAATAATATTGCTTTAATACACAGTGTTCCAGATTATTATGCAAAAACAGAGTTTCGAAACACTCAATAGTTTCTAAACGATTGAAAACAGAAATCTGTTGTATTTTTTTTGCATTAGACTAACTTATATAAGTACAACCATGGTGTGTGAACTATTGTATGTACAGTAAACAAGTTTAAATAAGTTGTGTAGTGTATAATACAACAAGATAAAAATATAAATGTAGTAGTAAAATGGATGATAAGTTGATTAGGATATTAATCTTCTTTTTAGTTATTTTATTTTGTTGATTTTGGTGACATTTATACTGGATTCATTAAAGGCATAAAAGTGTTTTCCTCATGCGAATCCAGGCAGTGTAATGGCCTATAAATAAACATAAATGTAATACATTTAAAATACTTAAATATTTTGGTAAATTTCCTATAATTTGCCACTTAAAGTTGTCTAAATAGAGAAAGAAAAAGAAGGTTAATTAGTGATTATTACTCGTTACCGTCAGCTGAAGCTCCGCATGCAGTACCAGTGTTCGGCCAGTGGGGGCGCCACATGCAGCGAACAGCATAGACTCTACATAGCGGAGCAACCGAGCAGTAAACAGATCGACTATAAGTAGTTGAACCGTCCGGTAAACCGGCACACACACGTTGTTGACGGATATTATTTAATCAGGAGTGACTGAAAAGGTACGTAAATCATAGTTATATTATCTTACATTAGTGTTTAACGCCGTAACAACAGCACAAGTTAGCAGGTGGTTAGCGACGTGCTAGTAGGCCGCGGAGCCTCGGGTTTTCTTGGCCGAGCTGCACCGAGGAGCGGCGACGCAGCGGCGGGTAGCTCCTCTCTCTGTTAACGGTGTTTTAACTCTCATTGTGAAACAAAAAAAAAGGGGGTCGGAAAACATTTAATAAAGCTTGAAACTAACATTCAGACAGGTTGTCTGTAAACTGATTTACGTGAGGTAACGTAAGATTAAACAGCGTTAAGTTTTTATAACTAACTTACATTAAACAGCTGATTTTTTGCATTTAATTTGGGGTAGTTAAATCTGAAAGTTACAAAAATTAAACCAGCGAACTTAAACATGAGCGTAATTATCCTGCAGAGGCTGCACAGTGTGTGTTTAACCTCCTGTAATTTAAGTTTTTATTTAGTTTTCTACTCGTTAATCTGCCATCAATGCACGTTTGGCTTTGTAGTGAAAGCAACACAGACGTGGTGATACACTTGAGTCTGCTCTTCATCAGGTCTGTTTGTGTAGTACAACTTCAGAGAGAGAGAGAAAGAAAGAGAGAGAGGAGGAAGAGGAAGAGGAGGAGAGCGGGACAAGTCCGGGCATATTTTTCTAACTGCATGTGTTGTAATGGTAACTGTTACTGAACAGCTGACTCATGCTGTTTGTCAGCTGTTCCCCCCCCCACACATACACTCACTCAGACCTCTGCCCAGACATATTTACACACTTCAGAGCCGAGCCAGGCCGAGCCGGGCTAACCAGCAGCACGGGTTAAGTCTGCACAGGTTGTGTGATCCGTAAAAGCACACAAAGGAAACTTGCCTTTTTGCTGTAAACTGGAGAATTAAATGAGGAAATTAATGTAATTAGTGTGTCTTTTTAATCAAAGTGTGCAGTGTTACTCCGGATTTTGCAGTTTAATTCCACAAGTTTAAGGTTTGAATGATAAAAACGAGTCAAAATGTGATTAAATCTGTTGTTTTTTTCTGATTTTATCGGCTGTTTTATTGATTTACTGCCTCCCACGCTGACAGAAAAACTGTTAAATTACACAGAAACTCAGAACTAACTTTACTTTCCGATAATCTGATTAAACATTAAACGAAAGCTCCTTTTTGTTTCGGTGAAAATTAACTTCTTTATACATTTAAAAACCCTTTAATACAATTAAAATACAACATTTAAACTGTATATAAATATAGTAAATAAAGTTATTTCCAAACAAGCTTTTAAACAAGAAAACAAGAATGTATTTAATTATTTTTTGGGAGGAACTAAATTTAATTTGATGGGCCGATTTGGGGAAATTACGTCTTTTACCCACTTCGTACCCAGGCCAGTGTCCCAGCCCGGTTTAGCCCGGTTGAGCCCACTTTAGCCCTGGTTACCGTTGCTTAGTGGGATTGTGGTTAGTCTAAATTTGACAGCTGAGTCACGGTGGACTAGTCGTGGCATGTCTAAACGGTGTGACTCAATCAGCTGGTTCAGTGCTGCTGACTCAGCCCCGACTGGCCCTGTTGGGCCCTGATAGGCCCCGACTAGGCTAGGCCGGGCCACAGTCTGGTCTAGTCTTGACATGTCTGAGCACTATAAGAGACTAGGACTCCTCCGCTCCTCTCTGACTGCACTTTATCTGTTTTTATCGCACAGGATGGACTGCTGATACTCCTCACTCTGTTTACACCGGTAAGTCTTTTATGTTTCATTTGTGTTCAACGCTGCATGTGTAAATGAGTATAAAGTGAGAACTCAGGGGTTTATATTGGTGGAGCGCTCAGCTGTCAGTGATTTCTTTGCAACTGTGTCTGCTTTTATGTTTTTAAAAAACCAAATAAGTTGCCTAGAAAACACAATTAAATGAATTATTGTGTCAAAAACACTTTGAGAGGCAGGATCCTCCAGTTTGTTGTCTGTTTCTGCATTTTTACTGGATAAAGAGGACTTAAAGGATTAATTCATTATATATATACTCAGTTAATTAGGGACACATAATGTAGTTATACTGAATACAGCCCTGTACTCAATCCTGTGTTACTAAACTTTACTAAAACTTACTGTTAAACTCCTTTTAATAGTAGTAAATTATGAATATAAAGTTTGTTGAATCTGTTTCAGAGACTTCTACTTTGTGGTTATTTAATTTCTTTTATGTTTGTGGCACTGCTGACTTGTGTTTTTATAATGTTTTATATAAATATCTCATTTCTGTTGAGCAGGGCTGATTAAATAATTAGAAACGCAGAATAATTCACCTGTAGTGGATCGAATTAGACTTTAATGGTATCTGTTTTAACACTAATAACTTCTTAAAGCCAACAGAAGGTGACGAGACGTCTTTGGATCTTTTGCATAATTGCTGAATCATTTAGAGTCATTTTTTTAAAAAGAGGGAATAATCCAAATTCTCCGTTTTCACCCTTTTAAATGTGAATATGTTTGAGTTGTGCGGCCTTCGGGAAACTGTTTATCGTGGTTTTTCTCCCTTTGGATGAAACGACTAATGGATTAATGAGGAATACAGAGAGAGAGAGACGTGGATGAGAATAAAAATCAGGGTTTGAAGCTTCCACGGCACAGAAACTCAATTAAAATGACACCAAAGCAACAGCTGAAGAACAACCAAAAGACCAAAACAACTCTACAAAGTGCAGAAGAAATGTCTCACTCTGGGTCCCTAGTGGTTTTCCTACTAGAGGTATTAAAGTGTAGTTAATGTGTTGATGTATAATCACCAATAACCCTGTTTGTGTGCAGGATCCATCAGCTTCACTATGTCAGCTGACGGGGAACTCAACACCGACGGCGCCGACGACAACAAATTGGTGAGTTGCAGCCGGTTTACGGACAGAAAGCCTCGTTGTGAGAGAGCCTGCAGTCGGACCTCGTACACAGACAGAGGAGCAAAGCATTTTATTCTCATACAGGAGTGTCTGCAGGGTCTGGAAAAGACTAAACATCCAATATTCTGAATGTTTAAGGCTTTAAAATGACCTTAAAATTGATTTGGATTAATGAATTAATGTCATATTCTTGCTACTGTGTCTACAAAACAAAACCAGCAGATTTTCATTCACATCCTTTGTATCTTTTTGCTCCAGTATTGATTTTAAATTGCATTAATAATGTTTTTTTAGACCTAAAACATGAATCTGTTGAACCTCATTATGTTTTTGCAGCACGTTTTAATCCCACAAACATTAATCCTCACAGGAGCGACGAGTTGTGCCGCCCGGTTACTGCTGGTTGAAGATGATTCGAATGTTTCCTGTTTGTGTTTCAGGTCCGACCGAAGATAGAGTTCGGTACTTTACTGCAACACGCCGGAGCCACTAAAGATGTTTTCACCATGAAGGAGGTACAGCGCTGTCTGTGTGTCTCCTGATGCTTACTTGTTTGATGTTTCCTGTACGTTATAATGCTTTGTTATACGTGTTTGCATTTGAATTTTTATTTTTGCACAGATTAGAATTACATTAAAACGACAAAGATAACAAAACCCAGATGGGCTTATTTAAAGCCTCCACCTAAAATTTCATAGTTNNAAAGTGTGCGAATTAGAATTTTAAAACTAAATTTTTTTTAACAGTAAATTGACCTCTGCACGTAAAAAATCTTGGGGGATGAAGATCTAAAGATTGTCGCGTTGGATAAGAGTGAACCTGAGAATTAAATTTAAAATAAGTCAGAAAATGCTCTGGAAAAATATATAACATCAACAACAAGTTATAATGACAACAAAAATATAAAAATAATGTAAAAGTGTGCGAATTAGAATTTTAAGACAGCAATTAAATGGGCTTTTAGACATCTTTTGAAACATTTTATAGAGTTTTTTGCCAGATGGGAAAAGGTATTCCATAATTTGGTACCCCTAAATTTAACAGTAAATTGACCTCTGCATGTAAAAATCTTGGGGGATGAAGATTTAAAGACAGAATTAAATTTAAAATGAGTCAGAAAATGCTCTGGAAAGTTTTCATGATCTGAATGCACCTTATAAATAAAAATAAATCAAATAAAAACACATATTTGAGAGATATTGAGACATTTCTCCCCCCATCTGTGACGGTCTCCCTGCAGGTGATGTTCTACCTCGGTCAGTACATCATCCAGAAGCAGCTGTACGACCAGAAGCAGCAGCACATCGTCCACTGCTCCCAGGATGCACTGGGGCGGGTGCTGGGAGTCGACAGCTTCTCCGTTAAGGAGCCACGGTGAGATTCAGATTCACTATCACTGTTTGTCTCTGTGTTTTGTACTTTAAATATAAAAAGAGAGAGACTAAAATGTGTTCATGTTTCAGAGTGCTGTTTGCGATGATCACCAAGAACCTGGTGGCCGTGAAGAGCCAAGGTAAGACCGCTCTTCTTTCTCTTTGTCTCAAGTGATGACAGGAAACATGTCGCTGCAAATATGACTGAAGTCTTGATTCAGATCTTCTCTTTCACCTCTTTTCTTCTTCTCATTGTCCTCCTCACCTTTTCCCCCTCTTTTCATCTCATTGTCCTCCTGCCAGCTGATTCAGACAAAACTAAAAGGTCGTTCTCTCTCTCTCTCTCTTTCTTAGAGTCATCGCCGAGCTTGAGTGAAACACACAGTAACAGCCAGACAGACAGAGGGACGGAGGTAAGATACACACACATTCAGTGACTTATTATAGCTGCTTTTTGACCGCACACGTCTTTTAGGTTCACTTTATGACAGATTTTAGAATTAAATGTCCTGTGAATGATCAAAAAAAGGGACAATAAGTTGACAAAAACTGTTAAAGAATGCACAAAGTAATCAAGAATATCAGCAAACTGCAGGAATAATAGTACAAAGATAGTTGTTGTTTTGAAATAACTGAAACTTAATTACTTTTTTTACACTGAGTAACACTTAAGAGCACATCAAACATTATCGTCCTACACAAGGACAAAGTGGACTAATAAAATTCAAGAAAGAAGGTTTGAGACTGAATTTGAGTTCCAGATGTGAACGTGTGTTTTTGTGTTTTTTAAGGATGCAGATTCAGAAAGTCGCTCTTCATCGCCGGATAGGAGGAGAACGCGGAGGAGAAGGAGGAGGAGCTGCCGGAGCAGTGAGCCAGGTGAGTCTTCCCTCCGAGGCGCCGCCACATCTTCAAAGCCCGTAAACACACCTGTGATGTTGTGACCTTAAACTCCACCCGCCCCGTCTCCTCAGGCCCCTCCCACAGTGTAGAGAACGACGAAGATGAGGAGGACTCAGAAGAGGGAGAGGAAGGAGAAGGAAGGAAGAGGAGGCGGTCGGACAGCTACTCCCTGACCTTTGACGAGAGCCTGTCCTGGTGTGTGATTGGTGGACTGGGAAGTGGGCGGGACAGACACAGCAGCCAATCATCTGACTCACACAGCACAGTGAGTGTTATTCTTAAAACACACACACACACACACACACACACACACACACACACACACTGTCTTTTGTTTTATTGATCCAGGATTGTTGTATTGGTTTCTAATGCTGTGTGTGTGTGTGTG